CATTTACCTATTAGTTATTCTAGTACAATAAAATAAAACAAAAATAGAGGAAGCCTTGTTACGTACAATTGTGCATTAAAGTGTGTGAAAATTGAGAAATAAGAAGATGTACAATAATGAAAAGAATTCTAGAAAACTTATGAATCTTCTGTTAAGCATATGGTGTTTTTTAATATTGCAAGTGCAAAAAACAACAATAATAATATGCCCGGCAGTTATGTAAATATAAAGAAAAATGAATATAGAGAAAAAAGAATTGTGCAGCAGTGTAAAAAGTTCAGTCAACTAATTGTTCCTCCATTAAGCAACTGTTGCTTGTAAAATTACATGTGCAGGAATCAACAACAACAACATTTTCGATATTTTTATAGAAAAATGTGTTGAAAACAGAGCAAGAAGAGGATCTGCAATAGCGACTATACAAGGTAAAAGTCGAGGAAATTCAAGAGTTACTACAAAAATCAACAAATAAATTAAAAATGTCAAATGAATTCATAACTATTCTCTTTAGAAAAGAAAACAAATTAAAGGCGGAAAACTAAACATTATGAAGTGAAAGAACAGTAACCAACGATGGTGCTTGAAATGGGAAGTAGAAAAGAGAGACAAGAAACTAAAATTGAGACATAGCCAATTGATTCTTTCTACTACATTTTCTACTCTATCTGACTTATTACATCGGCTTATGTAGCTATTTACAATAGAGACAAGAAAAATATTTTTTATAGTGCCTTTTGATATATATTTTCTCGGATAGGCTATAGCTAACAATATGATAAGGAATTGCCAACTTTACTCGATATGTTGATTTTCTTTTGCTTCTTGTGTGTATTCTTAGACAATAAGATTAAAATGATTATTAAAATGCATATTCTCAACGAAATTAGGGGTCAATAAGTTGAAATAACATCCAAACTCCAGATACTCTTAGACCTAAATAAAATCTCCATCGTTATGATCTAATGTGTTAATGACCATCAAAGCATGAATGACGAGTTGTAAGTATCCTTTTAATAATACATAAATGTACCCTTTAACTTGGTTTGAAATTACATTTATGCTCTTTAACTTTGGATATGCGGAAATAGACACTTAAACTTGTATAAAGTTGAACAAATAGACATACATGTCCCACATGTCATCCTACATGTCATTTTTTGTCCTACGTGGTGTCCTACGTGTTTTTCCATGTTGGACTTATGTGTTTATTTATTTAAAAGTTGGATAGTTAAAATGTCTGTTTGTGCATTATGAAAGTTGAAAGTCAAAGTTAAAATTTGAAGCTAAGTTTAGGTTCCAATATATGTATTATGCCTTTAAAAAAACAAGCTTCAAATAAACAAGGAAACTAACATCTATTGATTTGTAAATATCCTTGGAAAAACCACTTAATTGTCTTCTTCCAACATAAGGAGAAATAAGAAGATTCCAAGGGAGAGACCGCAAAATATTAGAAGTTTTTGCAATTAAAATCATATGCTTAAAGAAAAAAGTTGAAGTGCAATTTTGTAAATCAAAAGTTTCATATTCTTACTTGGAATACCTGAAAAATTTTGGAACAAAAATGTTCCTTATCTTACCACTCCATTTCTTCCTTCTTGTCAACACTTCCAAAGTTATCCTACAATAATAAAGATACTTGTAAAGTTAATAACCATAACATAAACAATGGTTAACTCTGATTTTGTAACAAAGACGATGAAAAATGGAAGTGATTTCATTGCTATAGAATTACATTTTTAGAAGCTATTTAAAGTGATGTTGTAGACAATAGATGACAGTTAAGACCACGACAAAAGGTCCAAATGCCTAGTCATAAAATGGACTACATTGTTACCTCAAAAAATTTCCGATATATCATCCAGTATTTGCTGCTTAATATGAATTTTTAATTGTATTTTAAATGACGCATATCATAGTCACGAATTATTTGCTTCAAGTGTCTCATTAACAAATTGTTACATATTTCAATAGTCTGATTATTGTAAAAAGTTACTTTTACGAGCTGATGGTTGAATATCTAAGCTTTGTGAAAGGCATTATAGAAGAACTTCCTCTTAACATATCCAGAATTTTTGCTGGGCTATTCCATGAAATGGCAGAGAACAAATAGGATTATATAAAGTTTTATGATATTTTCTCTAAGAACCTCAAGATATTGTCAGATCTTTACAGCACTCAAAAAAGTAGGTAGAGGAAGAAGAACTAGATTGCTTCTCATTGGAGGAGTTTGTTCAAATGGTGGTGAAAAAATTCTTATGATGCAGATGACATATGAAAAGAGTTACGTTCTTATAACTAGTTATTGCTCCCTTCACTTAGGCATTAGGTAACTATATGTAGCATTGTCAATCTACAATTCAATAAGAAAAGTTCATGTCACAAACTTGCATATGCTTCAAAAACAAGATTATCAACTAGGAATCCCAACACAATATTTATTTTTGTAGTTATACACCTATAGAAATCACCATTTGGTGAAGAAATATATTAAGAGTAATTCAAACAAAACTATCACTAAGATAATTAAGAAAACAATCATCGCTTAAAAGAAGACATACCTCAGAATCAATTTGATGAAAATCAACTCATAGACGAAGTTCTCTTGATGAGCAACAACCCGTGCTTTCTATATTTTGGGAAAGAGCGGACGAAAACTAAGAGTATTAGCAGAATTTTCCCAGAGAGTTACGATTTGCACTAAAATCGATTTAGGGATTTTGTGTGTTGTAAAATATGATGTGTCTTAATTGTCCTATATTGAAAAAATAGAGACTTTTTTCATGAATTATATTTAATGAAGTAATTTTTTAGCGCCTCATGAGTTTCTATTAAGATTTAAAATTCCCTTTTTCCCGCTTCTCACCACCATATTTAGAATTTGAGAACAGTTTGTAATTTCTTTAGGGACTAGATTTCGTACCTTCATAATAACATATAAAATTAGTGACGGGAATATAATCTCTTTCCAATACATGTATTTTTTGAGACGAGATTATTAGCTCGTCCCTAAATGCTGGTCTTAAATAACGATTTTTCTTGTAGTTCTCTTACCAGCACAAATTTATAAATCTAACTTAATCACATAAACACAATAAGTCAATAAAATCGTCTCAGATTCCACGCTACAATGCAACAAAAAGAGAAAAATTCAAAATCTTGAAACCCTTTTTGTTCCCCTTTTCGTTTTAAACCTAAGTCACATAATAATTATTATTGGCCAACATTAGCAACACCCTACTTCCTCAAATTTCAGAAAAAATCACCCAATCTAAATTAAATGTTAATTTTAAAGAAAAAAATTCCACTTCGTTACCCCAACATAGTTAAAGAACACAATAGAGATAATTCAACTCAATCTCTTAATACCAATTCATTTTCTTCTATTTAATAATATAATAACAATAATATGCCATAGTGACTGCCAAAGTTAGAAAATTTCCAAATCCTTAACTTCAATATATATAATAGTATTTTATTCTTTTGAACTTAGCGATTAAACCTTGAAAAGTTTTCAACAACTCACCTGTAAATTTGATCGAGCTGCCCACGTCTTCGCCAGTAAGTTAATTCTTTAACTTATTCAGTTTATGATGAAAAAAATATTAAACCCCTCTAACTTATTCTAATTGTGTGGGCCAAGTGATGAAAAAAAAAGAAGGAAAAATGACAGAAATCTCACATTTAAGTTCTCTTATTACCAATATCCCCTATTAGTTTTATAAATCCCCAAAATTCCTTGTTTTTCATGCATCCGATTAATGTATCAGCGCATAAAATTAATGTATCTCGCGCATCATATTAATGTATCGTGCACATCAGATTAGTGTATCAAGTATAAAATGTACATCAATTAGTGTATCATGTATAAAATGTAATGTATCTTACTTAACAATTAATGTATCTCGCGCATAAGATTAATGTATCAGCGGTTATATTATTGTATCAGTTTGATAGATTTTTGTAATTATAAACTTATAAGGGACAAATTATAATTTTACCTTAAAAGTATGTGATTTTTGTCCTTTGCCCATAAAAAAACTTTTAATAAGTCATGGACTTGGCCCATCAAATATTAACTATATTAATTATTTAATAAAATTTTCATCAACTAGATTCCCATAGTCATAGTTACCGAATAGTATAAAAAAATTTAAAATTTTTATCGAGAGAGTCAAAATAGTCTTAGTGCTCAAAATGACCTAGCGGGTCGTTACAGATATTGTCAACAAGTATACAACAATGATTAACTCAAATTTATCATCACATTGGTCCTCTCACAGAAGCCAAACCCAAACTATTATTGTGCCGAAACATGACAATTCGATCCAATATTATGCGGAATGTGGCAATCTGATCCAAGTTAGTTATGCCGGAACGTGACAATCCGATTCAAGTTAGTTATGTCGAAACGTGGCAATTCGATCTCATTCACACACCACAATCACAAACACAAGAACATCATCAAAATCATTCATTTAAGTAATGATTTTAAGGTAATGATATTTCATCTATCTCGTTTACAACAAGTATGATCAATATTGCAACATTCATACATATACAAGTATCATAATGAAGCAAAACATGCATACATCACACAAATCTATATAATCACAACCATCACATATGAATCACCGGACATTGGCTTCCGCTAACAATGAAATATTAAGAATCGCATCCCGCGCATATTTTACATTATAACATGCATACATGGTTTTAACTATGAGACAAGAACGCGTTCAATTGTCACAAGTTATATGTGTTGTTCAATTGTTCAGAAGTCAATACAACTAAATCTCCCGCCCAATAGGCAACACACTACACTATCTTCACTCTCTTTCACTTCTTGAATTGTCTCAAACTCTTGGATCATAGACAAAATTAGCTTATGCGAATATTACATCTAAGACTTATTCCCGATGAACAACAAATGTCATTTTTTGTTAAGAGGGTTCAAAAATTTAGGATCGCCCCTTATGATCTTTATTTATACATAATCAATGCAGGCGGTTCAACAAAAGAAGTTATTCATCTTAGATTATCATGATTTTCTATTGCCATTTGTGAACAAAGTGAATGAACTCAAAGGGACAGTACTTTATGGATCAAGAACTTTGTTCTATTTGACACCTAATGGCACATTGAGACCATTGGCGATTGAGCTAACTAGGCCACCAGTAGATGATAAGCCTCAATGGAAGCAAGTTTATTGTCCAACTTGGTATGCCACTGGTGCTTGGCTATGGAGGATTGCTAAAGCTCATGTTCTTGCTCATGACTCTGGCTATCACCAACTAGTTAGTCATTGGTAAGTGATAAATGATACATGCACTTTGCTATGTTGCTCGGACTCTTCCAAAATCATGTTGTAGTGTCCGTGTCGGATGCTCCAAAACAATGTATTATTTTTGGAGGATCCGGCATGCACTTTTCAACATTATTGAAGAGCCTGAGCAATAAAGTCAATAGTTAAGCATAATATATTAAAGGACATTTAAACTTGGTCTCAACTATCAAGTAGGTACTCCAACTTTGAGAGTCCATGTCTCTAAACACCTTAACTTCGTCTCAAATGACAACTAAACGTTCCAACTTGTTATAACTAACACACAACACTGACGTGACATATTAATTTGGGAGGTTTCTAGATGATCATTTTATAAGTTGGAGTACTCAACTGACATAGTGGAGACTATTTGAGGTGTACGTCTAGATGATAATTTTATAAGTTGGAGTGTTCACCTGACACAAAGTGGAGACGAGTTGAGGTGTCTAGATGTGCACGCTTAAAGTTGAAGTGCTTACTTGCCAGTTGAGGCCAAGTTTGACTATATATTATGTATTATGCCTTTTTTGTACTATCGGATCACCTAAAAAACTTATGACTTGTTCTTTTTCTTCAAAATTTTGCAGGCTAAGAACTCATTGTTGTACAGAGCCATACATTATAGCATCTAATAGGCAACTAAGTGCAATGCATCCAATATATAGATTATTATTTCCTCATTTTAGATATACAATGGAGATAAATGGTACAGCTAGAGAAGCACTTATTAATGCAAATGGTGTTATTGAGAGTTCATTTTCCCCTGGCAAGTATTCAATGGAGTTGAGTTCTGTTGCCTATGATCTTCACTGGAGGTTTGATAGAGAAGCACTCCCTGAGGACCTTATTAGTAGGTAATAATTTAATAATCTTCTTTTTTTTTCGTTTCTGATTTGGTGTTCGGTATCTGTATTGATATCCAACTAATTTGAATTCGCGTCACAAAGTTCAACTTTAGGAGTAAAGCGTACCCAACCAAAGGTGACTCTATTCACAGGGGTCAAACTCGAGACCTGTAGTTTAAAATAAACATATATTTTCTTACTAGTCTACCACAAACTTTTGTGGTCACTCATTTTCTGTTTTTTTTTTCGTTTTTCATCCGGTGTCCGAGTTTGCTTGCTTTAGGGTTTAATTAATTCGAATCTTCATCGGAAAATCTCATTTTGGGGTTAAACACTTCCAAGTAATGTGATGTGTTAAGGATGAAGGGGTACTTACCGCTCATTGTAATCTTTGGTGGTCATTGATCTTCTAATTTTTTTTAAATTTTCCATCTAGTGTCTGGTACCCTCTATGGATCCATCTATAGTCCGAGTTTGTAGAGAAAGTCCCATTTTTGGAGGCTAAGGCTCCCAACTAAAGGGGGCGCCCTTCACATTGGTCAAACTAGAGATGTTTGGTTAAAAATAGAGGGGTACTTACCACCTCAACACAACCTTTGATGTTCAAAATTATTTAGTTATGAGATATTTACAAGTAAATCTCCATAAATTAATTACTTAGTAAAAGTGGTAACTAACCTACTATCACACATCCATACTAACACACATATATGAATCAAGACATGTTGTTTTGTACATTTGTATGTTACGTCAGGGGAGATTCAACATCTACTATATATACAGAAAAAAAATATTTTTTTTTGACGAAAAAGGACTCGGACCTTGTTCCCTTGCTTCGATATTGATGTGCAAAATATACAGGGGATTGGCAGAGGAAAATCCAAATGCACCATATGTATTGAGACTAACAATAGAAGATTATCCTTCTGCTAGTGATGGTTTAGTTTGGGACATACTTAAACAATGGGTAACAAATTATGTCAACCATTATTATCCACAAGCAAAACTCATTGAATCTGATGAAGAACTCCAAGCTTGGTGGTTAGAGATTAAAAATGTTGGACATGGTGACAAGAAAGATGAGCCATGGTGGCCAGAGTTAAAAACTCCAAATGACTTAATTAGTATTGTCACAACAATAATTTGGGTAACTTCTGGCCATCATGCAGCTGTAAACTTTGGCCAATACAGCTATGCAGGTACCCTCCTTAGCTTCTTTGCATTAGTTTTCCATATCGTCTGCTATGTTGTTCAGACTCTTTGAAAATATCGACTAGCGTGTGTCAGATTTTTCAAAAAATAGTGAATCTTTGGAGAATTAGACATAGAAACATTTTTAGTGAGTTCGAGTAACACAGGTTGTCCGTGGATATAAGTTAAATGAAATGATAGGTTTATGTTGTGCAGGCTCTTTACAAATATCGATGAGTGTGTGTCAGATTTTTCAAAATTAGTGAATCTTCGGAGAATCAGACATAGCAACATTTTGAAGAGTTCGAGTAATATAAGTTATCCAAGCATATATGTTAAATGAAGGATAGGTCTATGTTGTTCAGACTCTTTAAAAATATCGACGAGTGTGTGTTAGATATTTCAAAAATAGTGAGACTTTGGAGATTCAAACATGGATGTTGCAACATTTTTGGTAAGCCCAAGCAACATAAGTTGTCCGTTCATACAAGTTAAATAAAGGACGGATAGGTCTTGGAACAGTGATAAAAATTTTACGAGTTTTTTTAGAGTATGTTGCATATATTATACTCAACTTAGGGTGTGTCATGTGTGAATTAATGCAGGATGCTTCGTACACTAGGCTACGTACTCTTTACAACATATATATAAGTAAAATTATTTAAAGTATCCCTTATAATAATCCCACGGGTTAGGTCTAGGAGGATAGAACGTATGCAGATCTTACGATATTGTTACGAGAGTAGAGAGATTGTTTCTGATAGACGATTGATTGTACTTATGGTTTATCAAATATGTAGGCTATTTTCCAAATAGGCCAACAATTGCTAGGTCAAAAATGCCAACTGAAGATCCAACAGATGAAGAATGGGAAGACTTTTTGAACAAACCTGAGGAGGCATTGTTAAAATGCTTCCCTTCACAACTTCAAGCAACAAAAGTAATAGCAGTTTTGGATGTTTTATCAAACCATTCTCCAGATGAAGAGTATATTGGTACAAATATTGAACCTTTTTGGAAAGATGAACCCGTAATTAATGCGGCGTTCGAGGTATTTTCGGGGAAATTGAAGGAGCTTGAAGGGATAATTGATGCCAGAAATGCTGATTGTAATTTGAAGAATAGAAATGGAGCTGGAGTTATGCCTTATGAATTATTGAAACCATTTTCTGAACGTGGAATTACTGGAAAAGGTGTACCTTATAGCATTTCCATTTGATTTTTTTTATAAAAAAAAATATTTGTGAATTTTGTAATAAGATGCAATTAAAAGAAGTATATATAATAATGCAAGATAATTGTTGTAATCCTACTAATCCAACTGTTACGGTATTGTCTGTTATCTTTGAGCCTCGGTGCCTCTTCTGAACTCAGTCTTACAAGATCCCTAACCTTCTTCTCCCATTTCGATGTAAGATTCGCCTAAAGTGTAACATGTAACGTATTCGTCTTTTTCAGGGGCTATGATCCATTCGTCATGGACGTCTCGAATGTGTATTTCTTGTTTTGTAAATGCCCTTTGTAACCATATTAGTTCTAACCATCACTACTAAAATAAAATAGGATTTAGTAAATTGACGGATAAATTTGGTAGTTGAACAACAAAATTCATCGTTAATTCTAGGCATAGATAGGCATAATACATATATTGGACTTTGAAGTTGGCTTCAAATCTTAACTTTGATCTCCAATTTTCATAATGCACAAACAGACACTTTAATTATCCAACTTTTAAATAAATAAACACATGAGTCCTACGTAACACAATACACGTAGGACACCACGTAGGACAAAAAATGACAGGTTGGATGACATGTAAGACATGTGTGTCTATTTCTGCGACTTTATACAAGTTTAAGTGTTTATGTGTGCACATCCAAAATTGAAATGCATAAATATAATTTGAAACCAAGTTAAAGGGCACAATTATGTATTGTGCCTTAATTCTATTTAGCGACAGATGTCTGTTAACTATGAGTGAAATAAAGATGGATTAACAATGGTCATCGCACTTGGCTTTTTTAATTATTATTATTTTCCTTGGCTATAACTTGAAGTTGACTTGGAAGTCAAGATCTATGCACCAACCAATCAATTTGTTTTTGGAATTTTGATTTGAAATGAACCAAATATTACGCTTACTTTTTGAATTTTCAACTTTAAATGTCTTTGCCCCATTTTATACACCAACTAAGAAAAAAATAAAATTGCATAGTCTTTGCATATTTTGATTAATAGGGGCATTATTGGACCAAACTATTAGATGTATGAATATTTTGTACCAAGCTATTGACAACACGAATATTTTTAGACCAAACTATTAACTCAGAATATTTTCCGTTGAATGAATAGGTAACTAGTAGTAAATTTTTCTTTGCTTAATTTGTGCTATATATACCTCATCTAAATTATTGAATAGACACACAAAGCAAACATCTCTTAATTAGTTTTAGTGCAGAAATGGGTTGTGTAAAACTTATATTTTTCATGCTATATGTCTTTCTCTTTCAACTTGTTCCCTCGTCATCCTTACTTCATTTGTGCCCTGAAGATCAAGCTCTTGCTCTTCTACAATTCAAGAACATGTTTACCGTTAATCCTAATGCTTCTGATTATTGTTACGACTATACAGGCGTAGAGATTCAGTCATATCCAAGAACTCTTTCCTGGAACAAGAGCGCGGATTGCTGCTCATGGGATGGCGTTGATTGTGACGAGACGACAGGACAAGTGATTGCGCTTGACCTCTGTTGTAGCAAACTTCGAGGCAAGTTTCATACCAATAGTAGCCTCTTTCAACTCTCCAATCTAAAAAGGCTTGATTTGTCGAATAATAACTTCACTGGATCGCTCATTTCACCTAAATTTGGTGAGTTTTCAAATTTGACGCATCTTGTTTTGTCTGATTCAAGTTTTACAGGTCTTATCCCTTTTGAAATCTCTCACCTTTCTAAACTACACGTTCTTCGTATCAGTGATCTAAATGAGCTTAGTCTAGGGCCTCACAATTTTGAACTGCTCCTTAAGAACTTGACCCAATTAAGAGAGCTCAACCTTGACTCGGTCAACATCTCTTCCACTATTCCTTCCAATTTCTCCTCTCATTTAACAAATCTATGGCTTCCATACACAGAGTTACGCGGGGTATTGCCTGAAAGAGTTTTCCACCTTTCCGACTTAGAATTCCTTCATTTATCAGGCAATCCCCAGCTCACGGTTAGGTTTCCCACAACCAAATGGAATAGCAGTGCATCACTCATGAAGTTATACGTCGATAGTGTGAATATTGCTGATAGGATACCTGAATCATTTAGCCATCTAACTTCACTTCATGAGCTGGACATGGGTTATACTAATCTATCAGGGCCTATTCCTAAACCTTTATGGAATCTCACCAACATAGAGAGTTTGTTCCTTGATGATAACCATCTTGAAGGACCAATTCCCCAGCTCCCGAGATTTGAAAAGCTCAACGACTTATCACTTGGATATAACAACTTGGATGGAGGACTTGAGTTCTTATCCTCTAACAGAAGCTGGACGGAGCTTGAAATATTAGATTTTTCATCCAATTACCTTACTGGTCCAATTCCATCCAACGTAAGTGGACTACGAAATCTACAATTACTCCACTTGTCATCAAACCACTTGAATGGGACTATACCTTCCTGGATATTCTCCCTTCCTTCACTGGTAGTGTTAGACTTGAGCAATAACACTTTCAGTGGAAAAATTCAAGAGTTCAAGTCCAAAACATTAATTACCGTTACCCTAAAACAAAATAAGCTGAAAGGTCCTATTCCGAATTCACTCCTAAACCAGCAGAGCCTATCTTTTCTTCTCCTTTCACACAATAATATCAGTGGACATATTTCTTCATCTATCTGCAATCTGAAAACATTGATATCGTTAGACTTGGGAAGTAACAATTTGGAGGGAACAATCCCACAATGCGTGGGTGAGATGAAAGAAAACCTTTGGAGTTTGGATTTGAGCAACAACAGTTTTAGTGGGACAATCAATACAACTTTTAGTGTTGGAAATTTTTTAAGGGTCATTAGCTTGCACGGGAATAAACTAACCGGTAAAGTCCCACGATCTTTGATCAATTGCAAGTATTTGACACTACTTGATCTAGGTAACAATATGTTGAATGACACATTTCCAAACTGGTTGGGATACCTACCTGATTTGAAGATTTTAAGCTTGAGATCAAATAAGTTGCATGGTCCCATCAAATCTTCAGGGAATACAAACTTGTTTACGCGTCTTCAAATTCTTGATCTATCATCTAATGGATTTAGTGGGAATTTACCCGAAAGTATTTTGGGGAATTTGCAAGCCATGAAAAAAATTAATGAGAGTACAAGATTCCCAGAGTATATTTCTGATCCATATGATATTTTTTACAATTATTTGACGACAATTACTACAAAGGGACAAGATTATGATTCTGTTAGAATTTTTACTTCTAACATGATTATCAATCTCTCAAAGAACAGATTCGAAGGTCATATTCCAAGCATTATTGGAGATCTTGTTGGACTTCGTACGTTGAACTTATCTCACAATGCCTTGGAAGGTCATATACCGGCATCATTTCAAAATTTATCAGTACTCGAATCATTGGATCTCTCATCTAATAAAATCAGCGGAGAAATTCCGCAGCAGCTTGCATCCCTCACATTCCTTGAAGTCTTAAATCTCTCTCACAATCATCTTGTTGGATGCATCCCCAAAGGAAAACAATTTGATTCGTTCGGGAACACTTCGTACCAAGGGAATGATGGGTTACGCGGATTTCCACTCTCAAAACTTTGTGGTGTTGATGATCAAGTGACAACTCCAGCTGAGCTAGATCAAGAAGAGGAGGAAGAAGATTCACCAATGATCAGTTGGCAGGGGGTTCTCGTGGGTTACGGTTGTGGACTTGTTATTGGACTGTCTGTAATATACATAATGTGGTCAACTCAATATCCAGCATGGTTTTCGAGGATGGATTTAAAGTTGGAACGCATAATTACTAAGAGAATGAAAAAGCACAAGAAAAGATATTAGTGAGTAGCTATACCTCCAGGTATTCAACTTTTTATAAATCAATGTATTTTCATCCTCAAAGCTCTTACCTTTAATTCTTATTGCAGGGTTCATGTCGACAAAGTTTCTGAAGATGCAGATTAAATCCTTTATCTTTCATAATCTGTGATGTTTTCGTAAAGTATTTGTTATCCTATGAACAAAGACATGACTTTTCTTCCTTTCAGACTCAAATCATAGTTTGCTTTCATTTGTCTATGGCATGTAGATATAAATTCGACTGATAAACAAAAGTCGGACATAATGTTGAATCTTTGAATCAATCAGACGATATGTTTCATCGCTAAAGACATTGTATTGCACTCAACTCTTTCACATAGACATCATAACACAAACATACAACACTCTACTTTAAGTTCGGAAACATAAAAATCTGAATTTACAGAGTCTGAAAATATCTTATTTCAGACTCATGATGTTCCTTCATCGGAAGATCAAAGAGACATCAGGAAAAATATTTGTTATATTCTCTACTGCCTGAGCCTCACATAGAGATCATCATGTGTTTTCAACATTCTTTGAAGAGTTGGAGAAAGAGACTTCAACTCTTCCCATCTAAGTTTCGGACGATAGAGTTACGTGATATCTCTATTGATGTAAAGTAGACGGCAGTACCGATTGAATTAATCAAATAGAACACAAGCTGACGTGAGAGCATCACTGTAATACAACAACAAACTACGCTTCAGCCCGAAACAATAACTTGCATAGGGACCTGCAATAATGTTCAAAGTCCAAAACAAGATGGACATAAACACACAACTGAGTGATAGAATTCTAGTGATCGAAATCAATATGGACGTCAAACTTCATTTGGGAAGAAATCGAGCAGAAGCGCTTGACTGCAGGTGAGGTTTATCGTGATCAATTAATTAGCAATTCGCTTCATAAAAATTCAGCTAATGAAAAGTAGAAAACAAACAGAAACACCTCTCCAAACAGACTTTGGAAGCAGATTTGCTGTGCATTTTCACCAAAATGAAGCCTCCTTGATCTGTCGAGCTATGACTTAGCTGATTTTGATGAGTCGAGATTTCGTCATCAAGATGCTGCAGTTTTCAGCTCCACTAAATTAAAATGAGGGCTGGAATGAACATAACGCACTGAATGATTGGGTTGCGACTCAAGCAGTAGTTGTGATACTTCATTTCCCAATTCAGTAGCTCTACATTAAGAAAATGTAGTATCCAACACTGCCTCTAAACACTTTCCAATTCATAACCACTAATTTAAAAGTTCATGCTAAAGAGCATGAGGATTTGAGTACGCTTGAGGGCATAGCATCGAGAATGCTCATTTTAAATAAGAGTATCACTTCACTTTATGCATTTCTTCTTTCTCGTACCAACTTCTAATGCGAGACTTTGTTCATACCCCCAATTTTCGACATAACAACTTTCTGCTTAATTCATCACTTTCCAGTTCCAAAACTGAAGAAAGTGAAAACTAATTAACAAATATTGAACAGATTCCCTGAATTATTATTTTGTTCACTTACAATATTCCCTGGATACGAAGTAATTAATTCCCTGAGATGTGGGAACACAAATAAGCTCAGGACATTGTGTGTGTCTGTGTATGCGTGCAGGGTTGTTAAGAAAGACAAAACAAAGACGCTTTTTAATAATAATAATAATATGAATTAATCAAAAAAAATTCAAATGTCATTACTGTTTAATTAAACTAATTATAACTTTTTAATTTATAGGAGGGTAAAATCGTAATTCAACTTTTAACTTGAGTTCTTTCCACTTATGAAAGTCGTGTAAAACAACGATATTTTTTGTGAGATGCATGTGTTATGTACAAGTCGTGGAACTTTGTGTTGTTGCTTTCATTTGAATTGAGAATTAATGCAGCATGCTTCGTACAAACTTATTGAATTTTCAACTTTAAAGGTTTTTCCCCCGTTCTATACACAAACTAAGAAAAATTTAAATTATATAGTCTTTGGATGGTGACCTATTTGAACCTTTTTGGAAAGATGAACCCGTAATTAACGCGGTATTTTTGGGGAAATTGAAGGAGCTTGAAGGGATAATTGATGCTAGAAATGCTGATTGTAATTTGAAGAATAGAAATGGAGCTGGAGTTATGCCTTGTGAGTTATTGAAACCATTTTCTGAACCTGGAATTACTGGAAAAGGTGTACCTTATAGCATTTCCATTTGATTTTTTTTTAAAAAAAAAAAAATATTTGTGAATTATGTAATAAGATGCAATTGAAAGAAGTATATATTATAATGCAAGACAATTGTTGTAATATACTGGTCCAACTGTTACGGTATTGTCTGTTATCTTTGAGCCTCGGTGCCTCAACAGTTGATTCTGAACGCATTCTTATGAGATCCCTAGCTTTCTTCTCCCATTTCGATGTAAGATTCGCCTAAAGTGTAACATGTAATGTATTCGTCTTCTTCAGGGGCTATGATCCGTCCGTCATGGACGTTTCGAATGTGTATTTCTTGTTTCGTAAGTGCCCTTCGTAACAATATTAGTTCTAACCATCACTACAAAAATAAAAAAGTATTTAGTAAATTGACGGATAAATTTGGTAGTTGAACAACAAAATTCATCGTTAATTCTATTTAGCCACAGATTTCTGTTAACTACGAGTGAAATAACTATGGTCATCACATTTTTTTTTTATTTTCCTTGGCTGTAATTTGAACTTGACTTGGAAGTCAAGATCTATGCACCAACCAATCAATTTTTTTGGAATTTTGATTTGAAATGTCTTTTCTCAAAGTTTATGAACCAAATATTACGCTTAATATGATAGCTTCCTCTTATCAAACTTTTTGAATTTTCAACTTTAAATGTCTTTGCCCCATTCTATACACCAACTAAGAAAAATTAAAATTACAGTCTTTGCATATTTGGATAATAGGGGCATTATTGGACCAAACTATTAGATGTATGAATATTTTGGATCAGGCTATTGACAACACGAACATTTTTAGACCAAACTATTAACTCAGAATATTTTCCGTTGAATGAATAGGTAACTAGTAGTAAATTTTTAGACCAAACTATGAAGAACATGCCATGTCTGGACTCCTGCACTATCTTCCATCAACAGGTCAATTCTCTCAACTCTATTGGTGGAAGGTAGACGGTACGAATTGAATTATATTAGAAGACAAGCTGACCTGAGCATCACTGTTATACAACAACAACAAACTACGCTTCAGCCCCAAACAATAGTGACCCGAATCATATATTGTCACGAGTTTTTTTTAGAGTATGTTGCATATATTATACTCAACTTAGGGTTTGTCATTCTGATGCTTCGTACAAATTTATTGAATTTTCAACTTTAAAGGTTTATGAACCAAATATTACGCTTACTATGATAGCGGTCTTTTTTGATTAATCAAACTTATTGAATTTTCAACTTTAAAGGTTTTTCCCCGTTCTATACACAAACTAAGAAAAATTTAAATTATATAGTCTTTGGATGGTGACCTATTTGGATGGTAACATTATTGGACCAAACTATTGATAACGTGGACATTGTTAGACCAAACTGAGAAGGACATGTCTGGACTCCTGCTCCGTCTTCCATCAGCAGGTCGATTCTTGTGGAAAATTAGCTCGAGGTGGCGCACTATGTGAGGTAACTAGTATTAAATTTTTCTTTGCTTAATTTGTGCTATATATACCTCCTCTAAATTATTGAATATTCACACAAAGCAAACATTCTTGATTTCTTCTCTATCAACATAACAAGTTTTGATCATTTTTAGTTCAGAAATGGATTGTGTAAAACTTGTATTCCTTATGCTATATACCTTTCTCTGTCAACTTGCTTTATCCTCATCCTTGCCTCATTTGTGCCCCGAAGATCAAGCTCTTTCTCTTCTACAATTCAAGAACATGTTTACCATTAATCCTATTGCTTCTGATTATTGTTACGACATAAGAACAGACGTAGACATTCAGTCATATCCAAGAACTCTTTCTTGGAACAAAAGCACAAGTTGCTGCTCATGGGATGGCGTTCATTGTGACGAGACGACAGGACAAGTGATTGCGCTTGACCTACGTTGCAGCCAACTTCAAGGCAAGTTTCATTCCAATGGTAGCCTCTTTCAACTCTCCAATCTAAAAAGGCTTGATTTGTCTTTTAATAATTTCACTGGATCACTCATTTCACCAAAATTTGGTGAGTTTTCAAATTTGACGCATCTCGATTTGTCGCATTCCAGTTTTACAGGTCTAATTCCTTCTGAAATCTGTCACCTTTCTAAACTACACGTTCTTCGTATATGTGATCAACATGGGCCTGTGATAGGATACCTGAATCATTTAGCCATCCAACTTCACTTCATGAGTTGAACATGAGTCGTTCTAATCTGTCAGGGCCTATTCCTAAACATCTATGGAATCTCACCAACATAGTGTTTTTGGACCTTAATAATAACCACCTTGAAGGACCAATTCCCCAGCTCCCGAGATTTGAAAGGCTCAAGGCGTTATCACTTGGAAATAACAATTTGGATGGCGGAGTTGAGTTCTTATCCTTTAACAGAAGCTGGACCCAACTTGAATGGCTAGATTTATCATCCAATTCCCTAACTGGTCCAATTCCATCCAACGTAAGTGGACTACGTAACCTACAAATACTTTGGTTGTCATCAAACTACTTGAATGGGAGTATACCTTCCTGGATATTCTCCCTTCCTTCACTAAGATTTTTAGACTTGAGCAATAACACTTTCAATGGAAAAATTCAAGAGTTCAAGTCCAAAACATTAATTACCGTTACTCTAAAACAAAACAAGCTGAAAGGTCCTATTCCAAATTCACTCCTAAACCAGCAGAGCCTATCTTTTCTTCTCCTTTCACACAATAATATCAGTGGACATATTTCTTCATCTATCTGCAATCTGAAAACATTGATATTGTTAGACTTGGGAAGTAACAATTTGGAGGGAACAATCCCACAATGCGTGGGTGAGATGAAAGAAAACTTTTGGAGTTTGGATTTGAGCAACAACAGTCTTAGTGGGTCAATCAATACAACTTTTAGTGTTGGAAACTTTTTAAGGGTCATTAGCTTGCACGGGAATAAGCTAACGGGGAAAGTCCCACGATCTTTGATCAATTACAAGTATTTGACACTACTTGATCTAGGTAACAATCAGTTGAATGACACATTTCCAAACTGGTTGGGATACCTATCTCAATTGAAGATTTTAAGCTTGAGATCAAATAAGTTGCATGGTCCCATCAAATCTTCAGGGAATACAAACTTGTTTACGCGTCTTCAAATTCTTGATCTATCATCTAATGGATTTAGTGGGAATTTACCAGAAAGTATTTTGGGGAATTCGCAAGCCATGAAAAAAATTAATGAGAGTACAAGATTCCCAGAGTATATTTCTGATACATATTCTTTATTATACGATTATTTGACGACAATTACTACAAAGGGACAAGATTATGATTCTGTTCGAATTTTGGATTCTAACATGATTATCAATCTCTCAAAGAACAGATTTGAAGGGTCATATTCCAAGCATTATTGGAGATCTTGTTGGACTTCGTACGTTGAATTTATCTCATAATGTCTTGGAAGGTCATATACCGGCATCATTTCAAAATTTATCAGTACTCGAATCATTGGATCTCTCATCTAACAAAATCAGCGGAGAAATTCCGCAGCAGCTTGCATCCCTCACATTTCTTGAAGTCTTAAATCTCTCTCGCAATCATCTTGTTGGTTGCATTCCCAAAGGAAAACAATTTGATACGTTCGGGAACAGTTCATACCAAGGGAATGATGGGTTATGCGGATTTCCACTCTCAAAACTTTGTGGTGGTGATGATCAAGTGACAACTCCAGCTGAGTTCGAAGAAGAAGATTCACCAATGATCAGTTGGCAGGGGGTTCTCATGGGTTATGGTTGTGGACTTGTTATTGGACTGTCCATAATATACATAATGTGGTCAACTCAATATCCAGCATGGTTTTCCAGGATGGATTTAAAGTTGGAACACATAATTACTACGAGAATGAAAAAGCACAAGAAAAGATATTAATTAGTGTGCACTGACCTGCAGGTATTCAACTTGATACTTATCCTTCAAAAGATTCTTCTTATATTTCGATATATTTTCATCGTTAAAGCTCTTAACTTTTACTCTTTATTTTTGAAAATTGCAGGATTCAAGCCTACTAAGTTGCTGGGATGCAATAGCACGTGTTTTCGTTTGTCAACTGCAAAGTTCAGTTTATCTTATCTTTTTTTCATTACATCAAGTAATTTCAATAGCAAGCTAATCATGTAAGGTTCTTGATGTATCCAAGTTAGATAAAGTAGTCCTTATCGAGATGAATAAAATTGAAGAATAGTTAATGTGACGAGGGCCAATTGAAAACAACCTACCCCACACTCTCTAGACAAATGAGTGTCGAGATTTCACAAAAAAATGCATCTGTCAGGGCTGAAACTTTGTATATTCCAGCATCCAACATTGCTTTTCTCAAGGGCACCAGCACAAATGATTCGGTTGCGACTAAACCAAAAGTTGTGCTACTTCATTTTCCAATTCAATAGCTCCATGAAGTCTACAAGCACCCATCAGAGCCCCCCAAGACAGTGATATCAGCTTCAAAAGGCATCGTACGCTTATTGTAGTGCAAATTCATATGACATTTCAAGAGCATTGCATCAAATATCTTTGAATCATATATCAAATAACCCTCATTCTTTAACATAAAACGCAAATCAATGTGGTCGTCATGAAGACACTCAACTCCTCATTCTTTACCATGTAACCATTTACTTACCTCCCTACATATAATGCCACACAAACATCCAAGAAGAAAAAAAATACTAAAAACATTGTGTTTCACTCAATTCTTTCGCACAACACTCGGCATTAAGTTCAGCAACAAAAAAATCTCTAGTTATAGAGTTTGAAGATATTTTTCTACAGATTGTCTATAATAACGTATCTGAAAAACTGCATGTGTTTTTACAAATAGTTGTGTTATCAAATAACTACATTTACTCTAAATACTCATACATAAGTAGTTGTTGAATGCCTTGAATTGGGCCCTTAATTATCTGTCAATTCTGTATTTTGGGCCCAAGCCTGTTAGGGCGTAGCTTAGCACTATATATAGACGCTATAGGGAACCC